GTCTAAGGCACCTACTTGGAACAAGCTTGGCAAAGCACAGGGACCACGGTTCGATCCCCCAGCACCACATGCCAGCCAGCCCGCCCCCTGGTGGATGAGCTGGCCACACACACACACACACACACACACACACACACACATAAAATAAACCTTTGAAAAAGAAACCCCTACTTCTAGGTGCCTTTTATTTTGCTCTTTTTAGTATTTTGGTCTTTTTTCTGGGTGTGGTGGCTCATGCCTGTAATCCTAGCACTTGGGAGGCTGAGGCAGGAGGATCATTGTGAGTTCAAGACCAGCCTGGGCTACAGAGTGAGCTCAAGGCCAGCCTAAGCTGCATAGTGAGACCCCACCTCAGAAAGACAAAAAATAATTTTTTCATAGAGGAGAAACTGTGCAATATTTAATCTTGTGTGTTTGATTTCCTTCACTCGACATGATGACCTCACAGTGCACCTGCTTACCTAGGAACGTCTCAAGCTATGCTTCCTTGTTGGGGAGCAGTACTCCACTGTGCATGAATGCCACATTTTCTTCGTCCATTCATCTGTTCGGGGCCATCAAGACTGCTTCCAATGGGCTGGTGAGATGGCTCAGTGGTCTAAAGCACCTACTTAGAACAAGCTAAGCAAAAGCACAGGGACCGCGGTTCAATCCCCCAGCACCACATGCCAGCCAGCCCCGCCCCCTGGTGGGCTGAACTGGCCACACACACACATAAATAAATAAATAAATAAATAAAATAAAAAAAAAAAGACTGCTTCCAAGATATAGACATTCAAGATCGTGCTGCTGTGCGTAAGCTGGAGACATTTCCAGGTAAGTGGACGTGCCTTAAGACCATACTCTTTAGGAAATGCGTCCGATGCACAAGTGCAAATATTGCGTTGTTTCTCTGGTGAGAGAATCCACAAATGCACATAAGGACCAAAACGTACAATAGGTATTGTGTAGCAGGAAGAAAATGTTCAAATGAAGAGAGGATTGGAGGGAGGTTAAAAAAAGAGAAAAGAAAACAATGGAAACAAAGCTTTTGTAAATGGGAAGGGGAGGAGGGCTGAAGGGAGAGGAGTGGGGAAAAAAGAAAGTTGTATCATGTGCAGGTACAAATTCCCTAGGATGAACATGATTATTACGTATATCTAAAATGCATCAATAAAATCTGATTAGAAAAAGCTTGTGCTGGGCCGGCCAAATAGCTCAGCGGATCAAAGCACCTGCAAGCAGGTGCAGGAGCGGGGATTCGATCTGGGGCAATTAAGACTGGGAGTGGTGGCACGCGCCTGTAATCCCAGCTCTTGGGAGGCTGTAAACAGGGAGATCACTATGAGTCCGAGATAGTGATCTTGAAGGGAGATCTTGAACACCCTGTAGGACCTTCCCTAAAAATATAGAGGGGGAAAAAAAGAAAAGAAAAGAAAAGCAAAAGCTTGTGCTGCTGTAAGCAGGGGCAAGCACACATCTCTGTCCTCTGACCAGACTTTCGCTTTCAGGAACATGCCTAGTGGCAGAAGAGCTCCGTCAAATAGGGCTTCCAGTTCTTGGTTTTTGAGCAGTGTCCACACTGATGTCCACGGCAGTGGTACCACTTTACAACCCAGCAACAAGGGGCAAGGGTTCCCCCACCCCAAGCCTCACTAGCTCTTGTTCTCAGTTGATTTCCTGCTGATTTTGGCGGTTGTTCCAGGAGGGAGATGGGATCTCAGTGTTGCTCTAATCAGCATTTCTCTGACGGCCCCCCGTGATGCCGAACATGCTATCTAGTGAGTCATTTGCCATCTGTACTTCTTCTGAGAAGGGTCTGTTTAATCGTGTCCCGGAGAGCCAACCCCAAGGTGGAACCTCGCTCCCTTCTTCAGTGTCCCCGTTGCTACCTCCTTCCCCACGAACCCAAGAATCCACATCGTCAAGCCCCACCCCATTGCCTGGGTCCCATCCCAAGCCCTCCATGTCTTCCAGGGTGCCCCAGGGTCTGTGAAAGTGCTCTGGTGTCCAGGGTTTCTTCAAAACAGGAAATGAGCCGGTCTCGTGTGTAAAGCCCTTTCCGTTGCTGCCTGCACGCACCCACGCATCCTTCTTAATCATGGGCTGCAGGAGCTGGGCACAGTGCCACACACCAGCAATCCCAGCCACTCAGGAGGCTGAGGCAGGAAGATCCCAAGTTCAAGGCTAGCCTGGGCAACTTGGCGAGCAGGCACCTTTTCCACCTAAAATTTAAACAGGGCTGGAAATGTAGCTCAGTGGTAGAGGTTTAGTCCCCAGCACTGCAGCTACACGGAGGAAAAAAAAAGTGATGGAGAGGACAGGATGGAGGCAAGGTGACATTTATTTTTATTTTTATTTTTTTAAGGTGACATTTATTGCTGGCTGGGGCAGGGGTAGATAGGAAGCTGGGGGGCCTGAGGGTCTACCACCCCTTTCGGGCAGCCCCGCTGGCGGGGTGTGCCCAGTGGCACGTAGCTCTCCTGGGAGTTGCTCAGTCTCAGTACTGCGGGGCCCTGGTATTTGCAGGGAAATTCATCCGTGTATTGGGTGGAGAAGAAGCGCTGTCCCCGCAGCGGGAACTCCAGGTGGCGGTACTTACACTGTGGGTCAGGTGCATGCTCGGCCACCCCCGCCCCACCCCCCTCTGGCCCCCGGGCCACCCTGGGGACATCAAAGGATGGGGCAAGTGCCGTGCGTGTGGACAAAGGGTCCTCCCCCCTCCCGCAGGAGTGCCCCCGGGGCTGAATGAGACACGAGAGACACAAGGTGCCATGAGCCCCAGTGACTCCACGCGTGCGAGCCAGTGGCCAGGGATCTGAAGACATCCCTGAGCGGAGCCTGCCGCGACCTCAGCAGGGAGGTGGCAGTCAGCGCTGACTTGGAAGCTGAGTCCCCCTCCCTGCGCACTCACCCTTCGCAGCAACTCTTCAGTCACGCGCGCTCCCGCTGTTCCGTGAGGCTTCAGCATCCTCTGGTTTGTGGTCGCAAAGTCCGTTTCTGCAGATTTGGGTGGGGGCAACAGGGTTGAAGGGCAGAGGGGCTGAGGGTGCGGAACGGCTCAGGGACAAAGGCTGATAGTGACCTGCAGCGAAGTGCGGGTTAGAAGAGGCGCAGGAGCTGGGCGAGGTAGCACAGGCCTGTGATCTCAGCATACTGGGAGCAGGAGGGTTTCAATTGAAGCCCAGCCTGGGCAATGTAGTGACTTAGTAAGACCTTGTCTCAAAATACTTTCTTAAAGGGATGGGGTTATATATAGGTCAGGATGAAGGCCTTGAGTTCAGTTCTCTAATTCGCTCCCTAAAAAAATGTATTGAGGTTGGGGTGGAGGCGGGGCCTGACCAGATGAATCTGGGGACAGGACCAAGTAGGATAGAGGGTGCTTAGGGGGCGGAGCTAGAATCTGATAGGAGGAGAGGGTTGGGTGGGACAGACGGGGGCGGTTCCATAGCAGGTGGGGGCAGGGCCAAGGGCGTGGGTCAGAGCTTAGTGCTACGGTTCGTACCCATGGGTGGGCGGGGCCTCTGGGGTGGGAGTGGCCTCCTGGGTGGGTGGGACCTCCGGGGTGGGTGGAGCCTCCCGGGGCCTCCTGTGGGCCTGGCTCACCGCCCCTGTTCTGCAGCACGTTGCTCTTCCTCAAGTGGAGGTTGGGTGCCTTCTGCGGTTGCGCCCCCTCTGGGGCACAGTAGGCCGAGCTCGTGGTGGTCTGGAAGAAGTGTCCGAGCAGCTTTGGCTCTCCGAGAGTTATGTGATTCTGCAGTTTCTCACGGGCCACGTGGCGGCTGGGTGGCTGGGTCGAAGGTGGTGGCTGTGGGACCACAAAGAATCTAAGGAACTGCTGAGTCGGTGATGGCCGGAAGCCCTGGGGAGATAGGCAGAGGGTGCTCTGCGACGTGAGACAGCGCCGGCTCCTTCTCTGGCCCCATACTGCTGGGAAGTGGCTCTGTTGTCTCATCAAAATGAGGTAGGGAGGATTTTATTTTATTTACAGGGGGTTGAACCCAAAGCCCCAGTGAGCTTCATCTCCAGCTATTCATTTAATTTTTAAAATCTTTTATTTATTATTTGTGTATTTGGTACAGGGCCTCACTATGCAGCTCAGACTAGTAGTGATCCTCTTGTTTTCAGCCTCCCTAGCACTGGGATTAGAGGCATGTGCCTGGACTCCTGGACTCATTTTTATTTTTTATTTTGGGACGTGGTGGGGTTGTAGGCATGCACCACCACATCCAGCTAGGCTTTTATTTTTGGTGCTGGGTGCGAATGGAACCCAGGGTCTCCTACATGCTAGGAAAGTACATGACACTGAGCAACTTCTACAGACCTTTTTGTTCTTGAGCCAGGATCTTACAAAGGTGCCCCGTCTAAATTCCAATTCTAGATTCTCCTGCCTCAGCCTCCTGAGCAGCTAGGATTACAGGGATGTACCACCCTACCGAGGTACAGAGATTTGTAAATAATTTCCCCAAGCTGATTCAACCAAATCTAGGCAATCCTTACACACATACCCAGCTCAGTCCTACCTCAGCGCCTTCGCACACAAGTTACTCTGCCTGACAAGCCCTTTTCTCTCCTGACCCCTCTGTTTCTTTCCTTGCCCACTGACCTGGCCATAGAAATCCTGTGTGGAGGTTATCAGGCTTCCAGGGCCAGGGCACCAGTTTCCTTCCAGGATGTGCGATTTCAGAGTCTTATCATGGTGGAGAAAGAAGGGCTCTGCCAGGCCAGAGTAGGGGGTGAGGGACTCGGAAGCTGCAGAGAGAGGGAGCCCAGGCAGAGGCACGAGGCAGCTCTCACCTGGGTCCCTTGCGTAGAAGTGGTCTGTCACAGTTGTCCTGTCGTGGAAGAGGCCGTCTCCGGAGGCAATACTCACACAGTGGATGCGGGAGGCCGCCTGGGCCTTGTTGTACCTGCAGATAAGGTGGAGTCTGTGGGGTTTCCTGTGATTCCCTGGAAGGCAGGGGGTGCCCCTGGAAGGGTCAGGAGCACTAACAGTGGGTGATTTGGCACAATCCAGAGACCTCGAAGCCCTCTGTGACGCCCTTTGCTACTGCTGAGTACCAGCTGTCCCATCCCGGTGAGGGGCACAGTGGTCCCTCTGTACCTGTCCGGAGGTAGCCCTTGGGGTGTGTGGGCCTGTTTCAGCTCTGAGCACACTGGGCTGTAGCCAATGTTGCAGTCTCCCAGGTGCACGGAGGAGGCTGCCTGTGAGCAGAGAGGGGTGAGGAGGCCTACATCCCTCAGCCCGCATGACTGTCCTCCCCAGCAACCCCCATCCTGCCTCAATTTACCCTCTTACACATCAGGGCAGGTGGGCCTGGCAGGGCCTGGAACTGTTCCTTGTAGGAGGTTTCTTTCTGCCCCTCATAATCCCACCTGAGGGTATTGGAGACCTCTGAGGAAGGGCAAGGAGAGAGAGAATGTGACTCATTCCCTGCAGCCACTGGCCCCCAGGATTCAGTCTTGTCCTGGGAAAGGGAGCTGAGGAGTCCTAAGCAGCCTCAATGGAGGCTGTCCAGAATGCACCCCCAAAATGCGAGGGATGACCGCATGGTAGAGTGTTCAGATTTTTTTATTAATTTTAATTTTAGTGAGAAACAAATATGAATGAGACAATTTCAAAGGTAATTAATAGGACAGTTTTGATGATCAATACATTGTACATTGTTATCTTCTTAGTGGTTATCCATACATAGTACAAGAAGCAGACAAGATATCCTGTCCAAATTGTTCAGATTTTTAAAAAGACACATTACCACAATCCTACCTCAAAATCCTCTCCCTCATGTCCAATACACATATCTCATTGCTCCTGTTCTTGCCACTTTCTGAAGCAGTTCTGGAAGCGTCTTTTGGGAATGCCTTCGCGAGATGTGATCAAATATATAGTGAATGCTGCTGTCAAGTTACTGCCACCCAAGGGAAAGGTGGCTCATAAAAGTATGACCTTAGGGCTGGCGAGATAGCTCGGCAGACTAAGGACCTGCTTAGGCAAGCACAGGGACTGGGGTTCGATCCCTGACACCACATGCCATGCCGGCCCTGCCCTCAGGTGTGCTGAGCTGGCCACCGAGTCCATGTGTATGCCTGTAATCCCGGCACTAGGGAGGTTGAGACAGGAGGATCGCTACCAAGCCCAAGCAGCATAGTGAGACCCTGAACCAAATATATTTTTAAAAACATATGACCTGTGTCCCCATCTAGCTGGTCACTGGATCTGGTACCATGTGACTTCTGATTCTCCCTCAAAGTCAAAGTGACCATGCAAGTCCGTGTTGTGGACTGATTCAGACGCCGAGGCCACCACAACAGCTCAACTAGATATTCCCAATAGAGGGCCTCCAGAGCTGTGTCAGGAAATGGGCCTGGTGTTCGCTGTACGGCCTCTTCAAGGCTCTGAGAGCTTAAGTGACCAGCTGGACATCACAGAAAGCAAGAGCCACAACTAAGCGTCTGACGAGAGCTTGCCAACCTCTGAGCCCCTCTGGGAGGAGTCACACTTGTGACGTCCGCTTGCATGGGCCCTGGACTCACTTTGTCCAGCACCCTCACCGTGCGCACGAAGACGCTTCCGCCTCACCAGCTCCTGGGAGGTGAGGCCCAGAGACGGAGGCTTGGAGACTCTCTCCCATGCTGCAAAGGTGAGAGGGCTGGGAGTGATCACAGGGAACCTGAATTGTCTAAACTCAAGCCAGCACCCAGAATGTCTCCCCACTGCACAGCACCCTGGAGAAATTTGGGAGGACAGCTTCACTCCACAGGTGCAGAAACCGCAGCCCAGGGCGGTTCTGGAGCTTGCGCATTACTGACCTTTGGGGCTGGCTATTCCCCCCCACGAAAGGTGGCTGCCCTATAGGTGGTGGGATGCTTAGCGCTGTCCCTGGCATTTACCTGCAGCTAGCACTGTCACCGTTACAGGTGCTCTGGCTTGTGTCTAGGTGTTCCCCCAACGTCTCATGCACCCACGGGTGGAACTTCTAGAGACTGTGATTAATTCATGATCCAGTGCTGGGATTACAGGTGTGAGCGCTACAACCGGCCTGAGGCAGATGGCCTGGATGCAGGGTAAGGAAGATAGAGAGGCTTGCCCTCTGCCTGTTGCCACTGCTCCTCCCTTTCTGCTCTTGCTGTTTTTCTTTTTCTTTCTTCTTTTTTTTTTTTTTTTTTTTTTTCGGAACTGGGGATTGAACTCAGGCCCTTGAGCTTGCCAGGCAAGCGCTTATTCTACTGAGCCATCTCCCCAACTCCCTGTTTTTCTGAGTTCCATCGCCATGAACTGCTGGCCTCTGCTGTGGGCCACTCTGCCTTGGAGCCAGGCAAGTATGGATTGAAACCTCCACAAACTGTGAGCTAAATAAACCTTTCCTTCCTTAATTTTGGGTGTTGAATATTTTGTCCCAGCTATGAGAGAGAAGTAACCGTGATAACAGATGACCATCAAAAAATGTTTGTAGGGGCCGGGGAGATGGCTCAGTGGAATAAGCGCTTCCCTGGCAAGCACAAGGGCCTGAGTTCAATCCCTGGTTCTGCCAAAAAAAAAAAAAAAAAAAAAAAGTTTGCAAGGACCAGCCAAATAGCTCAGCAGATTAAAGCGCCAGCTTGCGCAGGGGCCAGGGGCTCTATCCCCAGGCCTGCCGTGCCGCTCCGCTTCCAGGGTACGCTGAGGTGACTGAGATTGGGCATGGTAGTGCGCACGTGCAATCCCAACTCTTGGGAGGCTGTAAACAGGCAGATCACTATGAGTCCGATCTAGTAGTGAGACCCTGAACACCCTGTACATCCTTCCCTAAAATACAAAAGTAAATAAATAAATACGAAAAAGAAAAGAAAGAAAGAAAATGTTTGTGGACACTGTCAAATGTTCCTTGGAATTGGGGACAGTTGCAAAACCCTTGACCCTCTCTGGGCACAGGGTGCAAAGGCGCTTGCTCACCCAGATGGCAGCTCTGCGCGCGTGGCTGCGGGCGCGCGTCGTGGGGCGGAAAGAACGAGCGATACGTGCTGGGGGGTATGCGCAGCTTGTCCCTGTCGCCTGGCGGCATAGAGTCCAGGTCGAAAATGAGGCGCGCGCCGCCGATCCGCTCCCCGGCGCGCGCCCGCACCTCGGGCCAGCCATAGGCGGCGTGCGTGCTGGGGAGGACGGGCCCGGCGCCTGCGTCCGCGCACAGATTTAGGCTGCGGCGGCGCGAGGCGGCGGCGCGCTCCCGCGGGCCCTCAGCCCCTGCTGGCGGCGTGAACGCGCCGCGCGCCTCCGACACGCACCCCTCCGCGGTGCAGCCCCAGTCTGGTGGGAAGAGCTGCGCGCTCGGCGGGGGCGGGATCTGCTTCGCCCGCGCAGCCAGGCGGTGCGCAGGGAAGTGGCGGTGCGAAGTGGAGAGCTGAGTGTCCCGGTGCAGCCGCGGGTCCGGCCCCAGCGCGAAGTGCGAGGCCTTAAGAAAGTCCATTCGGGACGCCGGGCACTGCGGAAGGGCGTTCGCGGCCATCGCGGGCGGCAGGAACACGGCGAGCCTGCGAGTGCAGAGGACAAGGCCGCCTTTGACTCCTTTCTGCTCGCCTGGCAGTGCGCTGGGGCTGGGGCAGGGGCGTCGGGGAAAACAGATGCAGGCCCTGTGCTTGGCCCCAGGGGAAGTAAAGAGAGAACCATTCATGGGGCTGTGTTGAGTGCCAGGCCCGACCTAGGCACGGAAGCGGTTGGCACATCAGTTGACCAAACTGACCCGAACCTTGCCCTTTGGTAGCTGAGAATGAGGCTGGAAGAGTGGCGCTTGGCTGGTGAGCGCTAAGGCCCTCGGTTCCATTTCTAGCCTTGCAAAATATGACATTGAGAAGGTGCTGGTGACCAGGGCTTCTCCAAACCCCGGGGGAGAAGCTTGACTCTTTTTGTAATGAGCTCGGAGCCAACGTGGGGTTTAGAGCAGCAGAGGGACATGCCATTATGGGGGGGGGGGAGTTCATCCACAGCCAGCCTTTTATCTTTTTCTTTTTTTGAGACGGGATCTCATTTTGCAGTTCAGGCTGTCCTTGAATTTGCTATGTAGCCCAGCTGCAGCAATCCTCCTTCCTCAGCCTCTTGAATAGTTGGTACGATAGCCATTTCCTATCACATCTGTTTTGTTTTTTCCTTAGATGATGATGATTATTGTGGGCACCACGGATCAAACTCACAACCTTGCGCTTGCCACACAGGCGCTTAAGCTGCTGAGCTTTCTCTGGGGCCTAATGACAACTAAAATCATTAACCAAATTACTGCTTCCTGCAAGCCCCTATTCCTTCTTCCACAAGGACAGGGACAAGGACAGAGGCCTACCTCCAGGGGTGCTGTGGGTGTTGGGCTTTGGGGCTGGGCCCTCAGACTCCCTCTGTCCCTGATCTCCCAGGGACAGTCACACGGCCCTTCGGAGGCTGCCTCCCTCGAGTTCCAGTGCTATCCATTGTGACCTTCACTTCCCTGATGCTGGTGTCACAATGGTCCCAGCACCTCTGGGGCAGCCCAGAGGTCCTGGCTCGGAGTCCTGGCTCCCAAGGGCTCCCCCCACCCCCCGGGACCATTATGTTTCTCTTGCATGTCTTTGCCTGTGCCTGTACCTTCCCACAAGGTCCCAGACAGTCCCTTGTGTCTCTGTGTCTCTTGGAATCACTCAGAAGATTCCTTTTAAAAAGTTGGATGTGGTGGGGCACAGCTGTAATCCCAGCACTCAGGAGGCTGAGGCGGGAGGATTGCTGGGACTTTGAGTCTGGGCTGCATGAGTTTAAGGCCAGCCTGAACCACATAGTGAGACGCTGTCTCAAACAACACTAACAACATTTTTTATTCAGTATTTATTTATTTTTAATTTAAACTTTTTTTTTTGTATTTTAGGGAAGGGTTTACAGGGTGTTCAGGGTTTCACTACTAGATTGGACTCAGTGATCTGCTTGTTTACAGCCTCCCAAGAGCAGTGATTACAGGCATGCTACCACGCCCAGTCTCAATTGCTGTCTCAGCGGCCAGCATGGCAAGCCTGGGGATTGAAACCTTGGTCCCTGCGCCTGCTTGCAGGTGCCTTAATCCACTGAGCTATTTGACCAGCCCTTAAACAATTTTAAAAGCACAAGGGAATTTGGGGAAGTGATGAAAATGTTCTATACGGCAACTGTCATGATGGTCATACCACTGCACAACTTGTTAACACTCCTTAAACTGGAATGGGAAGGGAAAGCAGGGCAACTCACTGAACTAACAATATTGAGTTTTATTGCTTATAAATTACAGTTCATGATGCATACTTGTAATCCCAACGCTTGGGAGGCTGAGGCAGGAGGATCGTTGAGAGTTTGAAACAAGCCTGGGCTACAAAGTGAGCTCAAGGCCAACCTGAACTGTGCAGTGAGAACCTGTCTCAAAAAGACAATAATGATAATAGTTCAGTAAAGCTGATTAAGGTGTGTGTGCATGCGTGTGTGTGTGTGTGTGTGTGTGTGTGTGTGTGTGTCTGATAAGCAAGCCCAGGTATTCTACCACTGAGCTACAGCCTAGCCTTTTTTATATTTGATATCGAGGCTGAGTAAGTCTCTAAATTGCTTAGGCTCAGGGGCCGGGAGATGGCTCAGTGGAATAAGTGCTTCCCTGGCAAGCCCAAGGGCCTGAGTTCAATCCCTGGTTCCGCAAATAAATAAATAAATAAATAAAATAAATAATTTAAAAAATTGCTTAGGCTGGGTTGAACTTAATTACCCTCCTGCCTCAGCCTTCTGGGTAGCTGGGATGATGGGCCCGCACCATCACACCTCACTAGATTAAAACTTAAAGAATAATGAAATAAAAATATGAGTGGCGAGGTTGATACAGTTCCTAAGGCCTCCAGTCAGCAGGGAAGTGGGTCCTTGGCACTCCATTTGATCAGAGTCTCACTAGGCCCCCTGGCCTGAGGCCTGTCACCTGCTCCTGGCCTCCAGCCCAGTGGGCTTCGGTCCCCCAGGTGGTCCAGCCTCCTCCTCCTACCTGCTGTGAGTGCAGGCTTGGAAGGCGGCCGGCCGTGGCTTGCTAGGAGGAAGCAGGAGAGAGGCCCTGCTGCTCTGGAATCCCTCAGAATCATTTCTAGGATGAGTCGGAGGGATGGGGCACAGCTGAGCTGTGCTGGTGAGGAGGGACTAGTGGTCTCCACCCCTTTCAGCCAGGAGCAGAGAGGTCTGAGGGCCGCTGAGTGCATCCATGCTTGGGTTTGTCTTCCTGTGTTCAGCCGAGATTATGCAGCAGTTGTTTTGTCTCACTCGCCCTCACTCACCCACACTCGGGAGTGGCCTTGTCCAGTGCCAGCTCCTGTGGAACTTTTTATGTCCAGCAGGACGACGCTGGCTGGGGTCGGGCTGAGCTCACACCACCAAGGCCAGGGCTCATCCTCAAGGCTGCGGTCGGCTTGAACCAGATGTAGGAGGCTTCGAGGTCTGAGCAGTGCTTGCAAAAGTCACTGCTGCAGCTGGGAATGGCGGGAGACAGCGTACCTTCAAGAGAAGGGGTCCTTCATTCAGGCGGCTGCTGGCTCTGGGAACCTTGGTCTTGGCTTGGCTATTTGGGGAGCAGAGCCCCCACAGATGCCTGAACCCAAGTAGCAACAGGACCAAGCCTTGCTTTGATGTCAGAGTCACATGGCATGGTGGCGTGCCTGTCATTCCAGAACTCTGGGAGGCTGAGGCGAGGGCTACACAGTGGGAGCTGGTCTCAAACAAAACAAGCCTGCTCCCCAGGGCAGGACTTGGGGCTGCTCTGCAGATGCCACCTGGCCAGGCTTCCATGCTCCAGGCTACCAACTGTCCATGGCAGAACACTCAGGAGCTGCCTGGGCCGCTGAAGTTGGTCCTTTGTCACAAAGCATTGCATCTGGGGGCCTAAGTGCCTGCAGGGCTTCCCGGCTGGCCGGTGAGTCAAAATCCAAAGCCCTGCTGGCCAGACGCTGAGGCTGTGTCAGGCCTCTGCTAGCCACCGGCATGCTGAGCTCCACCCAAACCCTCCTGCAATGTGCAGGGCACAGGGAATGACCTTCAGTCAGGGTGCGGGCCTGCAGATGGTGACCCTGCAAGACCCATTCTGTGTGGCCTTGGGTTCCGCTGTGAACAGGACTTCCTGCAGATGGATGGCACCTGGGTGAGTAAGCCTGGACACTGTTCTGTGCTGACAGCTGCATGGTTTGGTGTGGTGGGTGCGCAGGGAATGCACTGAACACTTGGTTGTGTGGGGTGGTGCCTTAGAGGGTGTGGCCTAGGTGGAGGCTTTGAGGTCATGGGGCCTCTCACCTTGGGAGCTAGCTCCCTGTGAGGTTTCATGGTAGGTCTTCTGCAGGCCTGGGGCTGGGATCCAGGTGCGCTATCGCTGAGAACATCTCAGCCTTTTCATTTTTTGAGACTAGGAAGATATCATTAAGTTGCCCAGGTTGACCTTCAACTGGCAATCCTCCCGCCTCAGCCTCCAGAATAGCTGAGGCGACAGGTGTGCACCACCATGTCTGGCTGCGAAGAAGAGGGAAACATGGGAACAAGGCGCCGTAGCTTACTTCTGCCATCTCAGTACTCTGGGAGGCTGAGACAGGAGGACTGCTGAGAATTCAAGGCCAGCCTGGGTTACCCAGTGAGACCATGTTTTAAATATTTTGCAAAGGGAAACCAGGTGACACCCCGGGGCTCTCAGGAAATGTAAAGCAAAACCACAAAGGGATACCTCTCCACAGCCAGGAGCCTGAGTGCAGTCACTTACAAAGGAGTCGCAGGCATGTGGGGAAGGTAGAAACCTTGTGCATAACTGGGGCAGGGGGGGGTGCATTACACAGGGCAGCCCCTGGGGAAAACTGTGCGGCAGTTCCCCAAAAAATGAAACCTAGAATGACTCTGTGACCCAGCCACTCCATTCCTGGGTATGCACCCCAAGGAACTGGAAATGGGGACTTAAACAGGCACACGCCACATGGTCATAGCAGCTCTGTCAGAACAGCCAAAAGGTGGCGGCGGCCCAAAGGTCCATCCACGCGTGAGTGGATAAATAAAGCATGGTCCAGCTGTACGGTGAAATATTATTCAGGTATAAAAAAGGAATAAGATTTTGGTACATGCCACAACGAGGCCGAACCTCAAACGCATTATACGCACACGGTCATTGTTAACTTTCCCAGACTGTAACAAAATACCAGGGATAATCAAGTGACTAGGAGGAAGGGCTACTTTGGCTTGTGGTTTCAGGGGTTGCAGTCTATGGTCTCTGTTGTTGTGAGGCAGGAGATCACATGGGGAAATTTTCACTTCACAGCAGCCAGGAAGCAGAGGGAGAGTGAGAGAGGGGGAGGGGGAGGGGAGGGGAGGGGAAAGGGGAAGGGGGAGGGGAGGAGGAAAGGGGGAGGGGGACAGGGAGACAGAAACACACACACACACACAAAGGGGCAAGGTCCCTATGGGCCATCAGGACCACCCCCAACGATCTCCAACCAAACTGCACCCCTTAATGATCCCGCTGCGGCAGCTCAGGTTAGTTATTATAAGTAAACAGTTAGAAAAGCCTAGACCGAGGGCTGGGGAGTCGTGCCGGCCACCAAAACCAGGTGAGGTGGTACACGCCTGTAATCCCAGAACTGGGGAGGCTGAGACAGGAGGATCACCAGGAGTCTGACCTGCATACTGAGATCCTGTATCAAAACACATCAAATTAAAAAGAAAGAAAAGCGTAGGCTGGGTATGGTGACGCATGTAATTTGAGCGCTTGGGAGGCTGAGGCAGGAGGACCATTTCAGTTGGAGACCAGCCTGGGCTGCACAGTGAGCTCAAGGCCAGCCTGAACTGCATAGCGACACCCTGTCTCAAAAAAAGAAAAAGAAAAAGAAACAAACAAACTACCCAAGATAGGGTTGGAAGAAAGTTCAGTAGCCAATTACGCTTAGAAATGGGAAAGAAAATGAAACAGCCCGGCCAGGTTCAAGACTGATGGAAACAGCTGAGAGAAGCAAAGAATAAAGGCTTGGGGGCCAGGGAGATGGCTCGATAAAGGCTTGGGGGCCAGGGAGATGGCTCAGTAGAATAAGCGCTTCTGTGGCACGTGCAAGGGCCATGCAGAAAGCAGAAAGCGCCAGGTCAGGCTGGTGCCTTCTCCCTACCTCTCACCTGCAGAGAACCAACAAGCAAGAGTTTCCTTCTCAAACTTTAGAACGCACCCCTTTAAAGCAAGTCCCCTGGGTCTACCTGTCTGTGCAAGGCCAAGACAAAGAAGCATGACTGGACTTCTACGCAGGACCTCCACGATGGGATACCGAGACCATGTTCGTGAAATCAGGAAAGGTAAATATACGGCGAGAAAGCAGACTGGGGTGGGAGGCAGAGGGGCTCTGAGGCCTGTTTCCTGGGCAGAGATTGGAGGGAAGCAAACCAATTTTCTTCTACCCTTTGTTCTAGCTCAGATAGGTCCTTGTAATGACAGAAGCCAGAGGAACAGGAACAGTCCCGCACACGCACAGCCGGGCCTCACAGGTGGGTGGGCAGAGTCCAGAGAAGGAGTAATGGGCTCAAACTCTGGCTAATTAGCATCTTTGACCCGGAACAGGACACTTTTGGGGGCAGTAACAGACAGGACTTTGATTCTCCTTGGGGTGATGTTATGGGAAGGCAGATAAATAGTAGATAAGGAGCTGGGTGTGGTAAAGCTGAGGCAGGAGGGTCACTGCGTATTTGAGACCAGTCTGGGCTACACAGTGAAATCCTGTCTCGAAAATCCAAACCAAACCAGACCAAAGAATCAAGAATTCCAAGGGTTTCTAGGGTCTAATGTCTTTCCTGGTAGAGAGGAGAGGAGACGCCTTTGTAACCGTATGTCCTTCTTTTGGGAAAACAGCAAAAAGGAGAGAGCTTTTCCTATACATGCTTCACCTGCAGCTCAAAATAATCCTTCTGCCAAGGTGTCATATTTTGTGGTAGGGATCTCTCGTCTCCTATGACATCTCCTTCGAGTGACAAAATGATTTGAAACTGGTAAGGGGCAGCACAGCGACTGCCCAACATGTACAGGTACTAAACGCCACTGGCCTGTACATTTTTAGGTGTATCTCAGCCATCAGCGATGGCAAACACCAGTAATTCCAGCACTCTGGGAGGCTGAGGCAGGAGGGTCCCAGGCATGAGCCTTGCTTGGGCAATACAGCGAGACTGTTTCAAAATAAAAAATGAAAAAGGGCTGCTGATGTAGCATGGTGCTAAGGCCCTGGGTGACATCTCCAGTCCTGAGGCAGGGGGAATGAATTTCATGTGAAATGATGTACCTCAGTTTTAAAAATGTGAGGAAATGGGTGTTAACTTCTGGAAAACTTTGACTTTTTTTTCTTTTTGGATGAAGCAATCCATGTATATTGCACAAAGCTCTGAAGTTACAAATTTATAAAGGTGAAAAGCTGAGCAGTCATCTCACTAAGCCTGCCTGGAGCAGTTCTGGCCACCAGATCCTTCTCGAAAGATCTAAGCATTTTCATAACATCTAAAGATGCCTTATAACGATATTATGATCATACTCAATATGGACAGATAGTGAGGAAGGGCAAAGGAGAAAAAATAGAAAAAGAAATCCCTCTGAGTCTTTGTGACAGGTTACTTGGGACACAAACACATGAA